CCTTCCTTCTTTCTTTCTTTCTTTCTTTCTTTCTTTCTTTCTTTCTTTCTTTCTTTCTTTCTTTCTTTCTTTTTTTCTTTTTTTTTTTGTACCAGGGATTGAACTTGGGACCTTGCGCTTGTGAGGCAGGCGACAGAACCACTGAGTAAAACCCTGGCCCTGTCATTTACTTTTCGTTAGTATCCTTGACTGATATGGTTATGGTAGTCCTATGAAATGAATTTGGAAATGTCCTTGCCACTTTAATTGTTTGGAAGAAAAGTGGATAATGTTTTTCTTATTTGTGTGTTATAAAATTAATACATGTCTTAGTACAAGTGCATATTACATATTCATTCATTCAGTGAGTATTTCAGTGTCTACTTTGTCCTGGGTTCTGTTCCAAGTCACAAGGCACAGCCATGGGCCTGGCAGGAAATCTCTAGGCTTGTTAAACTTATGTTCCAGTATCTAGGCTTTTCTAAAGATGTCATCTGGATTTTCTCATTTTTATCCTTAGCACAATGTTGGAAGGATTATGTGTATGTGTGTGCATTTGTGTACATGCTGAAGACTGAACCCCCTGCCTGTGCTTTCTTAAGCATGCTCCCTACCCCTAGATAACATCCCCAGCCATGGGAGGAGGGCTGTATAATTTATGGATGCAGAAACTGTAAATGCAGAAGTGCTAAGTCCTTCACCGCAGCCACACAGTAGTTCAGAGAAGGTGCAATCTGAGCAGAGGCAGGCTGACTCCAGAGCCTACCAGCAGCATCAGGACAGATAAATGCCTTTTAGTGTGGGAGAAAGTGTTCAGTTAATGCTCATTAATGCATTGCTGTCTTTGAGAAAAACATGCCTTATTACTGAGGCACTTGAGTTTAGCCAAAGGATGGGGGCATATTTTTCTAGATAAACAAAGTGAAGAACAGGAGGGCTGAACCGGGGTGATGGTGAAAGGAGGGGAAGCGGCCTCACTGGAGAGGTCACAATGTAACCAGCACTGGCTCAGCACACTTTGTCACCCAGTACCTTGGCCTCTGACACTTAACACAGC